TTTAAGGGGCGGTAACTGAACTTGCTCCTGCTAGCATCTGAATAAAAATTTCACTGCACCTTGTTCCAATAAAGTTGTTGCATTCACAACTTTTTTGTCTGTCCCTTTCAAATGTAAAGGTGCACTAATTTAGTCAGATGTGATTCAGTGCACTAGAATTGTATAATAAATGACACAGCTGGTAAATAGACATTAATCCAACTGTAAAAACTTGTACGTTGTTAGTAAAGGTGGTAATATTGGCCACTAAATCATAAGGTACTTCTGAGATGTCTGGAATCTAGTGTCTTGTGGCTGAGCTGTATCAGCTACTGGTTAGTAGAATCAGACTAACCTTTAAAGGTTGCTATTGTGCTTGTGGCCCCTTTTGTGCTAGGTAATGTGCACAGATATATAGGCACAGTACCTGCTTTGGAGAACCTTAATTTGAAACAAGCAAGGATGCATGGGGATGTGAAGTTGTGGCAGTTCTCAGGTTTGATAGTCATTTCTAGTATTCCAATGTGTAAATCAGATTAAACAAATCTGCCCTGTGAAGAATAAATAAAAACAGCTTGTCCATTTAAAAAAAAATTACAACCCAGTTATAAGTGAGCAAGGTAGTCTCACCAGACCCCTACAGCATGCTGGGAAGGAATCCATTTTAATAGCTGCAATGAGTTGGCCATATGTCAAGTAAGCATTAAGGTTAGTGTATTAGAGCAGTGTTTTTCAATCTGTGGGTCATAAGATGTAAGGCACTGGGTCGCCATGTTCTGGTCACCATCGACGACCGGGACATTAAAAGTTCTGTCGGCAGGGCTGTCCAGCTAAGGCAGGCTAGTGCCTACCTTTTCTGACACTGCGCTGTGCCCCAGAAGCAGCCAGCAGCGGTCTGGCTTTTAGGCCATGGGGATCCCTGCACTGCCCCCACCCCAAGCACTGGCTCTGCACTCCAGCCAATTGGGGGGGGGGGGAGGAGGTGTGAGAGCAGTGCCTTCGGGTGAGAGTTATGTGGAGGCACTTGTGCATCTTTGCCTAGGAGCCAGACTTGCTGCTGGCTGCTTCTGGGGCACAGCATGGTCTGTGGTGCACCCCAGCCATGCCACTGAGCCACCAGAGGCAAGTCATGCCACAATCCCCAGCCCTGAGCCCCCCCCAAATCCAGAGCCCCTCCTGCACCCCAGATGACTCAGCCCAGAGCCCTGATCCCCCTCCTGTGCCCCAGACCACTTGGCCTAGAGCCCTGACCCCCTCCTCAACCCTGACCTAGCCTTGCACCCCACCAAACCTGGAACTCCTTCCTGCACCCTGAACCCCTTCATCCCTGGCCCTACCCCAGAGCCCCCTCCCACACTCAGAATCCCGGGCCTCACCCCTGAGACCTTACCAACTTCCTCATCCCCAGCTCTGTTGTGTCGCAGACATAAACAATTTTCAACAGGGTCCCCAGAAAAAAGTTTGAAAACCACTGGTATAGAGTACACTGTAGCTAAGGCCTCAATTCTAGTGTAAATGTATCTTGCTGCTACATTTAGCAATAACCTTACAGTAATAAAAAATGAGGATGCTTGATCCCCCCACTAAATGATTGGGGTGAAGAGAACCCGCAGATGTAAAACCATTTAAAAAAATGATAGGCCAGGTCCTCTGGCTGAGTTCAGCCTACATAAAGTCACAATACAATTTCAATTTTTTTTTTCCCAACTCCTGTCCTAGGGGAGCATATGGTGTGGGTGCCATTCTACTTCAAAGCAGTGATTTCTAATTGAAAGTGCCCGTGATGTACTTCCGAGTGCATGATAAACTAATGTATTGCAGTGCTTTGAACGTAAGCACTATTTAAAGACTAAGAATCAGGATAGATTAATTTAAATCCATTTTAATAAACTTTTCTATTTGTATTTCAATTATTTTCTAAAGAGGTGCATTCTCATTGCTTAATATAAACATTAGAACATGCTGATTTGAAACTAAATAGAGCCTTTACACTAGATTTTGGTACCTATTTTTGCTTCCTGGGAGGGAACACTATATATAAATCAATTTAAGCAACTACATAGCTTAATATTTTTGCATTCTTAATTGTTTTCAGTGCATTAGAAAATGGTGAATGATTCATTGCTTGTTTTTCCTCATGATTTATTATAACTGCAATTTAATTAAACACAAAACAGCATAACATTTATTATTGAACAAAAGCCTTTAATACAGTACATGACTGAAGTAAGTGGCCAGCTGCACCAACATAACTCCACTTCCATGAGAGGCATAGCACTAATGTCAATGTAGTTAGGATGACGCAGTATGTGAGTAGACTGTGCTACTTACATCACCTGTTGGCTGTCCTCTTTGAATGGGGCTGACAGCTGGAGCCCTCCCTCCACTCCAGAGCTGACAGCCAGGTGCTGGGTTCACAGCTGTGAGACCTGCCTGGGTGTTGACAGCCCAAGTTGTCAGCCAGGCATGGGAGGTGGGGGGGAGGGCAGCTGGGAGCCCTGCACCTACAGCTGAGGCTGTCAGCCCCAGGACTGCCAGCCTCCAGCTGTCAGTGTCCTACAATGCCCCACTTCAGTCTGGAAGTGCTCCTGATGAAGATGTGCACCACTGACAGAAGAAGCAAGTGTGGACATGAACCCCTGCTTTAATTACTGTGGTGGCTGTATGTCGACTTAATTTTGTAGTGTCCACAAGCCCCAAGTCTCACATCCTGGATTTAGCCGAAGGTGATGGTGATGTCGTCTGAGCCCCCCTTTCTGGCCTCATAGCGTTAAGCCATTGTTAAAGATCAGGACGATGAAGGCCCTGGAGCGTCATGGTGGGTTCCTGGTGACTGGAGTGGCAGCTATCCCAGTAAAGCTTGCAGCGTTTGGCCCCCTGGCTCCTTTGAATGGCCACACAGAGGCTGCAGCTTCATCCCATGACCATTAATCTATCGAAACACTTTTCAGTGATTTCAGCAGTAAACATTTCCTCCCATTTCTAGAATCTTTCAGCTCATTGTCATCTCAACATGTGGTTTCACTAGGAGCCTTGGAAAAGATTACTTATCAGGGTTGTTTAACTTAATCTAGTTAGAACCAGTCTGTTTGCCTTCACCTTTTGCTGACTTTCATAAACAATTTTATAGAACAGTCTGAACTGGATTTTTGTTAGGTTGGCCAATTTAGAATACAGGGCTCTGCATAAATGGACCCAATTCCATGGTCCTTATTAGGTAAAACTCCAGCTGGAACCAACTAATAGTAGTTTTGCCTCAGTATAGACCTCAAAATTGAGCCTGTAATTGTTACACAGTTGATTTTTGGTCATCCTCATCCCATCTGTGTCTCCCTTCTCTATCTTCCCTCACTCCATTGATTCCGGATCCTGGTCTCTTTCCCTGGGCTTCTCATCTAAATTCAGTCTCCCCAATCCCTGGTTCCTTGTCCCAGAAGACTCTACTGAGCATGTGCAAACACATTTTTCAAATGCTTATTACTTGGCAAAATTTGGGTGGATTTCCCAAGGACAGCAAAAGGCACATCTCTGACACAAAGGCCATCCCCGTCATATATCAGCTTCCTGCTCCAAACCATAGGCATGCTAGAGCTTCTCAAAGAAAGAGTCACTAACATTTTTTTTTGTAAAAAATATATTCCAAAACAATATATTTTTTCCTGACTTTGTTCTTGGAAATGGCTAAACTGTTTTGACTGTAATTATATATAAAATCCTGACGCAGACACCTAGTGTGGAAAATTTCAACCTAAATGCTCAAAGTTGGGCAAACTTATAAGCAACTGAAAACAGGGCCTCTCTAATGGGAAGTGTCAGGCAACCTTAACAACAGGGAGTGCTATCAGCTGCATTTAAAATTTATCTAAGAACAGTTTAAATCTTGTTCTCCCCAATGCTAACAGAGAATAAATATATTAAAGTAGAGATGGGCCTAAGTAGGAACATTTGGGTCAGAACTTCCAATGTGCAGTTTGGTCCTTTATAGGCAGATACTCAGGGCCAGCTGTGGCATTTTGACATATGGGACTACCTCTCACCTACTAGAACAATATGTGCTCATGCTGCACACACATCATTTCCCCACCCTTGTGTCCTGCCTAGATACCAAATGGTGGGACCTTTTACCAGCAGCAGAGTGTGGGGAACCCCAGTGGGCCAGCTTATATTCCATCTCTGTCCCGCGGCCTGCGGGGATATCGGATGGCGGCTCCAACATGGAGCCGTGAGTATAGGCATGTACTTGGCACGGTTCATCTCCGTCCCAGAAACCTGTCCCTTCTGTGGTGTGAGGGAGACCCTGGCACATGTGTACCTTCAGTGCACCAGGCTGCAGCCCCTTTTCTGGCTTCTCCTGAACCTCTTATTGAGGTTCTGGTTGCACTTTTCCCTGCACTTGTTTATTTACACACACCCGATCCCAGGCCCCATGAAGTCGCGGGACCACCTCGTCAACCTCCTCCTGGCCATTTGTAACACCAGGGAGAGGAGGTTGGCAGAGGGGAGGCTTTGCGACTGTGGGGCTGTCTTTCATTCTTTTATCCGCTCACGTATCCAGGCAGAGTTCCTCTGGGCAGCATCCGCTGACTCTCTCGATGCCTTTGAGGAGCAATGGGCGCTGTCTGGGGTTCTCTGCTTGGTTTCCCCTTCTGGTTCCCTGGTTTTGTCCCTTTGACCCCCACCCCTGTTCCCATTATTGCCTTTGTTGTCCCCCAAACTTGGTTGGGTTCTGGATTCAGTAGCTCCTCTCTAGGCTGGGGAAGGGGCTTTTAGCAGTGGGTGAGCTAGTGCCTGTCCACGTCCCGGCGCTCAAAAGGACTAGAACAGCATGGGAAATACACTCAGCAACTGTGTTTGCTGACTTCAGGGCAGGCTCCAAGGCCTATTTACATAGGTTATTTGCTGAGTGTATATTAAAGTGGGTACTGATGCCCTGTATTTTCCTGGATTTGAAGGCTCATTGAGTTCCTTATTGTGTCAAACCAGTTGCTGCAGTGTGTTAATGTATTTTTAAATATTGTACATGCAATCCTGCAGATACCGTGCACCTTACACATTGAGAAATACAACATAATACCAAAAAGCTTCACTTGGAACCCCTGACGTGCGTTTTTGGATAAGGACCTGTCCCCTCGGCTAATTTTGCATCTTTGCCTCATGCTGAGTGTGGGACTAGCAGCTGTGGTAGACCTCCACCCTGCCAATGCTTATGAATGTGCCTAGTTAAGTAGTTCAGAAGTTTGTAGTACATAATGGAAAAAGTTGCGTGCTTACTGTTAAAGCATGTGTGTTTGCACGATTGAGGGCCTTCATGCTGTCCTTACCTTTGCTTGCTTTTTGTCACCTTATTAAGACCCCTGATTTTAAATATAAGGCCTGGTACTAGTGAGGTTTTGATTTAAAAAAAAAACAATTATATGAATGTCAGTGCTGCAGCAAGCGTGGGCTTGACAGCTGTGAGACCAAAAGCCTTTCTTTATTCACCGACACAACCTAGGACACTGAAAGGACAGCGTTAGTGCAAGCCCATCAATTCTGCCTTGCCAGTGGACCTCAGCTATGGTGCTGGCAGCACCCACAAGTACTTCTAGCATGGGAACTTAGTTTGCTTCCAGGGCCTGTTTGCTTCCTGGCCTCTCTACTGAGACGGAGTGCGAAATGACAAGGAAGTTGTGTGACCTGGACACCTACCTGTAACGAAGCAGGACTCGCTCAAAGGGAGAAAAATTACAAGAATTCCCAGTGCCTTATACAAGACTTCACAGATTCTCACGGGTCTGTTGGAGTGGATGGCTGGGAAAAAAACAACCCAGAATCGTATTTGTCCTGGGGGTTGGGAGGGGCAGGATTAGAGAAAAGCACCTCAGGATCTTGAGGGAGGAGGCGGGGAGAGACTGGAGAAAAACTCCCCAGGATCCTGGGGGGATGGTGGGGGATAGGGTTGCCAACCCTCCATGATTACTACCCTGGAGTGTCCAGGAATTAAAGATTAATCTTTAATTAAAGACTGTCATGATGAAACATCCAGGAATAGTCCAACCAAAATTGGCAACTCTAGTGGGGGGAGTTGGAGAAAAACTGCCCAGGATCCTGGGGAAGGAGGTGGGGGGTTGGAGAGAAGCTCCCCAGGATCTGGGGGGGGTGTTGGAGAAGCTCCCTAGGATCTTGGGGAGGGGTGTTGAAGAGAAGCTCCCCCGGGATCT